AGTAGTCACTTGTTTTGTTCCCTGAACTGGCTCGGGTTTCATGTACAGGTTCTGTATGAACACAATGATGTGCTATGGAATTCACATTCTTCATAGGGCAATCCATAGTTTGTTATGATCCACACAGCTGCATAGTCAATGAAAACCAGGAAACATCATTCTATATACAATGGAAGAGTTCAATATCAGTAGATAAGACCAGACCAAGGGCATGAGTAAATTATCGAACAATAACATTGATATCACGTGGAAGTAAAATCTTGCTGAAGATCTGTTAAATATACAATAATCTTATTATGTTAAATATATAATAATTTAATTATATGATTTTATTTTGGTGCTCTTATTAGATGTTTATAACAGTAAGTTTAATAAACTAGTTTGTAAGTTAGCCTTTAACAATGAGCTTTATTGATAAATCATATAGTACTTTTTGAATGAAACACTTAAGTATAAGAAAATGAGTGAGTAATTGAATTATTTTACAATAGAATTTACAATGAAAAGTGTTTTACTTGACTTTCCTCCATACTTCTACTATAGAACTTTTGGTAGATATTTAGGAAGTATAATATTTAGTATCAGCATGTTTTAAATTTACAGTATTTATATCCAATATAATCTTACCCAATGAAAGAGTAAACCGAGTCCTTTCTTTGAAAGAAGAATTGTTCAATGTAGTAGAACAGTGAAGAACAAGGTCTCTAGAGTAAGACTGCTTCAACCCAAATCCATCTCCTCAACATTAGTTCTCTAACAGTAAGTCATTTAATTTTTCTCTGACTTCCTCAACTGTAGAGTGAGGATCATAGGAATGCCCATCAAATCGAACTGCTTGGTTGAATGTTGTGTTACTAGGTGCCATCAAGGTGGCTCCAACCCATTTATGCTAAATATGGTCATGCATATATAATAATGTAAATTCAAACCCTGTTGTTGTGAAATGCTGTCAAGTTGTTTCCAACACATAGGGACTCTGTGTAGCAGAACAAAACCGTGCCCAGTCCTAAACAGTTCTCCCAATTTTTGTTATGCTGAAGCCCATCCTTGCAGCCACTGTGTCAGATCATCTTGTCATGAGTCTTCCTCTTTTTCACTGCCTCTCTACTTCACCAAGCATGGCGTCCTCTTCGAGGGCCTGATCTCACCTAATAGCATGTCCAAAGGACATGAGATGACTTCTCACCATCTTTGCTTTTTAAAAAATCATTTTATTGGGGGGCTCATACAACTCTTATCACAATCCATCCATCCATTGTGTCAAGCACTTTTGTACATTTGTTGCCATCATCATTTTCAAAACATTTTTTTCTACTTGATTCTTGGTATCAGCTTCTCATTTTTCCCCTCCCTCCCCTCCCATCCCTCATGAACCCTTGATAATCTATAAATTGTTATTATTTTTTCATGTCTTACACTGACTGTTGTCTCCCTTCACACACTTTTCTGTTGTCCATCCCCCTGTGAGGGGGTTAATGTAGATCATTATGATCGCTTCCCCCTTCCTATCCCCACCTTCCCCTGACCCTCCTGGTATGGCAATTCTCAATATTGGTCCTGAGGAGTTTATCTGTCCTGGATTGCCTGTGTTTCCAGCTCTTATCTGTACCCATATACATGCTCTGATCTAGCTGGATTTGTAAGATAGAATTGGAGTCATGATAGTGGGGGGAGGAAGCATTAAAGAACTAGAGGTAAGTTGTATGTTTCATTGGTGCTATATACTGCACCCTGACTGGCTCCTGTCCTCCCTGAAACCCTTCTGTAAGGGGATGTCCAGTGGCCAACAGGTGAGCTTTGGATCTCCACTC